ACATTGGCAATTTTCAGTGTTTAACCATTTTTTTTTCTTTTTTTATCAATTTATTTCGTTATTACAATTCTGAGTTTGATTTTGTTTGGTTGGTGAAAAAAATTCAAGATAAAACAGAAAGTGAAAGAAATAGGGTTTTTCTCTGAAAAACTTGAAATTGAATGTTGAATTTAGTTATAAACATGAATGAAATTTTAGGTTTAGTTTTTTTTTTCAAAAAAATATTTTTTTAATTACTAAAAAATTGTTACTTGTTAATATGAATTTGTTGATTCATTCAAGATATCCTTATGAAACCATTCTGAAATAGTCTATTATGTTTTTTTTTTTCATCTCATCTTGGCATTTGTTTTATTTATTTTTTTAGATCATGGTGTTTGATGAAACAACTCAATATTGCTTGAAAAGATTCATTGTGTATGAAACCATCAACAACAGAAGATGGTAATGACTAAGGTGAAAAAAATCTTTCATCAAATGATAGTGTTTCAAATCTATGCAATCATCAATTTCATACATTTTAAATTTTTGGTTAATGTACTAAAATAATTTGAATGTTATTACATGTATTAAACTTTGTGTTCCATCAATATTGGAACAAATTATGTATTTATAATATTCAGTTTATGAATTTAAGTTCATTTTTATTTCTTTTAATAGTTTTTATTTAATGATAATAATCAATATTAAAAGAAATTTTTAAAAAATAAATTTTTTAATTTAGCAACATTTATACCTAAAAATGCCTCTAAATGCCAAAATGTAACGACACTTTTTTATTATAAACACTACTAAATTTAGTGGCATTTTATATTACAAATGCCTCTAAATTTAGCAACATTTTATGATAAAAAATGTCGTTAAGTTAACAGCATTTTTCTAAAAATGTTTCTATTTTTTTTGACACAAGTATAGGCGACATTCTTAGTGACGTTTTTTACAAACACCGCTAATCTTTTAGTGGTGTTTATAAATACCACTAAATGTGAAAAAAAATGTCACTAAAAGCCTAATTTCCTATAGTGTCACAATTTTAATCAATAGGTTTCACAAGTTAAATGACCCTGGAAAGATGATATAGCTTCAACACAAATCCGTAGTTACCACCTTAACCATCGACGTATTAACTGTGAATTTGATTGCATCAACTGCAACACGAGATCTTAGATAATACATCCATGTCTTCAAATCCTATATATATAATCAAAGACATTAATAGAAATGTTGAACAGTAAATTATTATGCAACCATTGCCCACTGGCATTTACATTTGTTTAATCACAATAAAGACCCATGTTTTAATACCTTAGACTAGGCATAGAAGCGAATCAAATTATTAAAACTATTTAGAATGATATTTTAGATTCAATTATACAAAAGTAATTATCTTTTACATTGGCTAATATTGGCTTATTTTCATTCTAGTTATAGCAAGCTGACTTAATGTTTGATATCTAATTTGTATGTTATTCAAGTAAATTATATTTTCTAAATAATTAAAACTATTTAGAATGATTCAATATCATTTTAATTATATACTAACAAGAGTAGTAAATTTTTTTCTCCTCATTTTAATTATTAACGAACCAGATTGAAAGCAATAAATAATTTAAATAATCTCAATAAATTCTACAAAAAAGAGAAACTTAAAGATTAGATTTTTTATTTAAAAAATAGAATCTAAGGAGTAAAGTCTAATAAAAATTTGTGTAAATACCTTAGTTCTCAAAATAGAAAATAAAGATTTTCACAGAATCAGAAAAATGATATTAAAGTGAGAATGAATTTAAGCCTTTTTTGCAAATACAAAAAGAAAATAAAATCCTAAGTTTGACTGATTAAAAGTTTAGTTGCATCGAATATAAAAGATGAAAAACTAAAGAAAAACTAAAAATGCAACCTTAAATCCTAAATCAAATATGAAAAGGAGAAAGAAATACAAAAAAAAAAAATTATGCATATATTTTAAAGCAATTAGATAATTAAGATAGAAATCAAGTTAGGTTTGAAAGATTTTCACTATAAGATTTTGAATAATATCTTAATATCATAAAAGGATTGTAAATTGTGTAAATTCATTCAGATTTACGATGTCTCTAGCGAGAGTATAATTGTTATTAGCCATTTTTTTCCTGTAAGTAATAGGTATTTGGTAGAGATTGATTTAGGTGTTTAGTTTTTGGAAAAGTTTTAGTAGGGTTTGGACGAATTTTGACAAAGAAGTTTACTAATTTCTTCCTTGCTTCATTATCTTCGCTGCTCCTTTTTACTTTTTCACGTTTCTATTTCCCAATATAACCCTCAATTTTTCTTAATAATATTGAGTAGTTATCTCCTTTGAAGAATATGGGAACAACTTTTATATAATAGTATAGATATATATATATATGAAATTTTTTTATACTTTTACAAATATAATAACTTTGTAATGCATCACTTTGATTATTATACTTTCAAGTATATATTTGGTACATAAGATTATGATAAGATAAAATAAGACGATATTATGAATAAGATTAGATTAAATAATATCATCCTATCTTATATATGATGTGTGCAAGAATTATGATAAATAATTTATTTTTAATCAAAATTATCTTTTTTTAAAGTTTATATAATTTAAATTATTGATAAAATTTTAAGAATATAATAGAATAAGTAAGTTTAACCCTATAAATTAAAAATAATCATTTTCACATAGAAATTATTGAATTATCAAATACCAAAAAGATGATTAATTTTTTTTTAATCTTATAATTTTCTTTAAATACAAATCAAATATAATATAAAATTATTATTTTGTGATTATATTTATTATCTTGTGCACCAAACATGAACTTGAATTTTTAAATTATATCAATTTAACAAATTAATTCACAATTTTATCATCAAGTTGAACGCCAATAGATTGAAATTTTTATTAAAATAAAATTCCTAGTAAAAATTTTCAAATAATTCATAAATTATGAATAACATAATATATAATAAATATTTAATAACGTAATATAGCAACTTATTAATAACATATAGTAATAAATTATGAATAACATAGTTGTATTAATATGCAAATGATTAATATCATAATAGTAAAAAAAATATGAATAACATAGTCAAAATACAATTAAGTCATTAAGTAATTCATGATTCTAGATTGAAAACTTTTTTAAAGTAAAATTGGTAGTAAAATATTTAAGAGAGTAAATGATGGATAATATAAATTTCTCAAAACTCCATTTAAACCCCTTTTACTTAATTAACCTAAACCCATCTAGGTAAATGTAAATCATTTACTAAAGGTAAATAAATTAAATTAGTTTAATTATTTGATATAATAATCATTGATTCATATTATGTTTTATATTAAAAATCATTTATTATTAAAAAATTCATCATTTTAATAAAAATTTAATTTCAAATAATACTATAATATCTTATATCATTTGTGTACAACATAATACATGTAAATTAATAAAAAAAATTATATTACAAGAAATTTTTAAATATCAACTTTTTTACAACATACCCTCTCTACATCTTTGTGCTCTCCAAGTCTTTATTTACTTGCTTCAAATCAATATTTTATTTTATTTTACTTATTCTTTCCACTATTTTATTTTTTTTATTGTATTTTCTGGAAAAATTTTATTTCTGAAATTTTATTCTATAATTTTTTTCAGAAAATATAATCACGTAAAGACTTGGAAAGTTTTGATTTAGAAATTTTTATGTTTTTTTTTTTCCAAAACACAATAAAAATAGAAAATAGTTGACTACCGAGACTTGTATAGAGAAAGAGCTCTTTGGTCCTTCAAACTTCAAAGCACCATGTCGTTTGATTGAGCTCCAAGTCACAAAAATGTTATTACGACCCAACAACGGTCCATCGACTTGGACCATGATGAAGGGTACGTTGAACAGAAGTAAAGCCCAACATGACATTTTGGCTACATAAGGCCCATGTTTCCAAGCTTTACTTGTGTTGTCATTTGTGCGTACATATGGGGAAACATTTGATCTGAGAATTTGGGAGCAAGTTCTTCAGTTGTTCACTTTAAAAACATAAAATCCTAGAAATGAAAACCAACAAAGATGATTCATAAATGAATATAAAGAATGATTTTTTTTTTTTACATGGGAGGTGGAATCCCAATCTTGTTAGAATTCATCTTTTAAAGTGATAGGGTGAAACATTTGAATTAATCCCAATCTTCTATAAAAATAAATTTTCACTAATTATATGTACACGAAAAGAAAAAAAATTTGAATACAATTCTTTAACTAAAATGATATATATATATATATATATATATTAAATCAAAATAAGATGATATTGAATTCAAAAGTTAGTTAAGTTAATTCATATCGTTATAAAAGATGTCATTTAAAAAATTTTAATATTTAAATTTTAATATCTGTAATTTTTTTTATATTATTTTTTTTTATAAAAATAATAATAATAAAAGTTAATCTCATAAATGCCTCTTTAGTTATAGTGAAATTTTAATATGATATTTAAATTTAAAAAATTTTTAATATGACACCTGAATTATAAATATATTAATTAATGTGATAATTGAAAAGTTATTTATCCATCATATGTTATCATTCAAAATTAATCATATTAAGAATGATATCACATTAGTTAATTTATTCATAATTCAAGTATTATATTCAAAATTTTTAAATTTAAATTTCACATTAAATATTTTATTATATTTTACGAGCTATTCATATCATTAGCCCAAAAAACATCCTCAAACCCAAATTTTCACCCCAAGCAAGCATTTAGCCACCTAAGAAGAAGAATAATGAGGGAAAAACATATGTTGAACTTTATAGTTTATACTTTCACTATTATGAACATTCAACAAAAATGAAGGTACAGTAAAATGGGGCTTGAACACCTTAGTTCAGCCAAATAAAAAAAAAAAGTGTTTTAGAGTACTCAATAACAGTATATATATATATATATATATATTTTTTTTTTTTTTTTTGCTCACTCCATATATTTTGTTTCTAATAAGAGGCAGCCAATTCTAGTTCATGGCTGTCCTCTAACTGTAGCAATTTTGCGAAAACCCCAACTAATGGTGCCGTATTATATGTGCATGCCTCAGTCTGCATATAATTATCTCTTTCGTCCATGAAATTATCTTGACAATCTGGTCCCCCAACCAGTGCCCCAACCAGCACGTTAGGGTTAGGCTCTTGCCGACTATACCAATGGTCATAACCTTGGGTGCACCCAATGAACCCTTTATTCTCCCTGTATGACACTATTGAGGCTCCCCTATGGTGCACCCTTGTGGGGTATTTCGAACCATAACCCACTAAATAACTCAAGTTCATCGGATTGGAACCTAGTATGTAATCTACTTGAGATTTGGCAAAATTGAGGATCATTTCATGATCCACTGTTCCGGAAGGACATTCGAGGTGTTTGTTCGAGTCTCGGAGGAAGTCGGAGTACACGGTGAGAAGGAATGCTGCTGTTGACACATATTGCATGTTGTTCCATTGCCGGATGTATAAAAGACCTCCTGGGGTACGTTCAATGTTCTTGCTGGCATTGTTTTTGTTGAGACATGAGCATAGATAGTACTCAGCTTTTGATCGGTATTGCTTGAGAATATGAGCGTGCTGCTTATGTTTTTCTTTCTCCAGCAACTGCGAAGGAAAATTCAAAATTCGATTTGAAAATCAAATTTCAATTTCTGTAATCATTTTTTTATTTTCAAATGGTAACTTTCTTTGTAAAAAAAAAAAAATTCTCGTTTTATTAACTTTTATTGGGCTTTTCTTCAATAAAAAGATGAAAATGTTACATATAGAAGAGGGAAAACCGAAAATGCGAAAGGAGACAAATTGGGAGATAAAATGTGTCATTGTCATGGTACAAAACATGGAAGTTTCATAAGATATTTGAAAGCATAGATCTCCGTTAAAAGTGGAAGAATGATCCAAGATTCAACAGTTGTACCTAAATTGACCGAACCGTGGATGTTACACTCTCAAGTGGAGGTCAAGACCCTATCGTGCAATTTTTTTTTCTCTTAATTGGGACATCTCAAACACTTTCAACACCTACTAAATTTCCAAAACACGTGTAAATTCCCATCTTTCAGGCATCAGATAATCACGGCTATAGTTTCTGCATAACCTTGTAAATTTTTCCAAATCTTTGAATCAATTGTAAACAAATTCAAAGATCAAGGCATGTTCAAACACTATTCAAACTAGAAAATTGGGTATTAGAACATTTTTGTTCTTTGTATCTTCAAAGTTTTCAGCTAAAGATATTTTTGTTTACCAGCAGGGACCATGGAAAATCTCCAAAAGTTCAAATCAATGCCTGGTATAAGGAGATTTACTGCAAAAATGGAGCCAACAAAAATGTGGGTCTACAAAAATAAACGAGCTTGTGAAGGTGGGCGTCATAAATGAAGGCGCCAGGATCCATTCGCTAGGATTGGCAGTGGGACCAAGACGTCTATGTACCAGGCCCTACCTAAAAAGTTTAGACAACCCATATGAGGCCAGCTCTGCTACTCTGGTCCTCGCATGATTTTGGATATCTCTCCCTTACCTCCCCTGATTGTGGAACAGCAGCAATTTTGCTGCTAAGAGCACAGGAAATTACTGCTCCTTTTCCACTAGATTTAGACAAGTGGCACTAATCCACTGGCATTCAAAGGCATCGGAGGCACATGGACTTGTGCTCCTATTTTTAACTCTAAAGATGGTACCTTCAGTAGGGTTTACTCTATCAGCGAACTTTGCTATAAAAAATTGGAAAGTATATGTTTCAAAGTTAAACTATCATTACATCTTTGAATCTAGGAAAAAAGCAAAATCCCATGAAGATTTTAGGGACTCGCTGGCCACCAAATCAAATTCCCCGTTTTCATGTATAAGAAATGAAAAGCCAAAAAGAAAAAGCTTAATGTTATATGATTTTCAAAATTAAGATTGCGTGGATTTATTTTGTTCTTAAATAGCATTCTATCGATATTTTTAAATTTTAAAAATTTTAAATATTTGAATTCTTCTAGCATTATAAAGACCGAAACATTGGTTAAAGTTGGGCCACATATAGATGCATAGATATTGATTTGACCGCATAAAAATCTTCAAATCTTCCTGAGAAATAACTGAAATGACCCTAATGTTTTATTTTTTCATTTTAATTATGAAATGACCCTAGTGTTGAGCTCTAGCATCTAAGAATAATGTATGCAAAAGGGTTTTTTTTTTCTTTTTTAGGTTACTAAGAGTTAAGAATTTAAGATTTTATCAGGTGATTATTGATGAACAAAAAGAAAGAATTTTTAAAGTGACGAGAGAGTTTACCTTCGATGCCATAATTTGAATCCCAGCGTACTTAACATCCCAACTGAACTCTGTTATGGCCCAACCAATCCCGCCAAAACAATGAGCCTTACTTATGACATACTTCAAGTACTCCTCATTGTCGGTGGCCTTGTACAACCACAAAGCCGCCCACAGCAACTCGTCCATGTATCCACTCACCGACTCATAGTAGCTCTTCACCACCCCAATACTTCCATCATATTTCCCTCTATACTTATCCCCGAACTCAAACAACTACACCAAAAAAAACAGCATTTTTCACTTTACAATCAAACCAACTCTAATTTCCATGATCATGTAACATATAATTCATAAGCTACCTCTCGGGCGTGGTGCAACAGTAAGTGAGAGTAATGCGGGTTTGTTTTCTTGAACACAATTGATGCTGCCGCCATTGCTGCCGCTGTCTCTCCGGCCAGATCCGACCCCGGATTGTTCTTATCAATCTTATAGGCTTGGCGTGAGGTGGTCATGTCTTCCGGGCGTTGCCAACAGTAATGGTCAGTGTCCCCATCACCCACCTATGGCACGCAGCACAATTATTTCTTTTGATGAAATTTTGAATCATATAATATAACGTACTAAAAGTTTAGAAAGCTATGTTTGTGAAGGGAACTATCTACCTCTGCCCATAATACATTTGGGCTGGTGTGTGCCTTAATGAAGTAATCTGTCCCCCATTTAATAGCCTCTAAAGCATGCTCCAATTCTCCGGCATCAGCAATCTGATCACGGAATTCAATGATACCCCAAGACAGAATTGTGACGGTGAAGGCCATTGGGAGTCCAAATTTGACATGATCACCAGCGTCGTAGTATCCTCCTACTAAGTCCACCTACAATAGCAAAACAGGCAACTTTTAACTCGGAACAATATTTATAGTGTAAAAAGGAAAAACCTGTTTTTGAACCATTCGAGAGTTTGGGGGCTATACTCCTTGTTCCAATCCGTCGGTGAGGCCAGAATGGTCACGCCAAGTGACACGTTGGTTGTACGGTAACCGACCGGATCGTTGGGATTCAAAGTAAAGGAGGCTCTTAGTTAATGCATCGGCGTAATCAAATGCTTGAGCTGTTGCAGAAATGGTGAAAACAGAGAAGAGAACAAGACCCCAATGCCAGACAAATCTGGGAGTTTGGTGATGATGGTTTAGCCTCCTCTTCTTCTCCTCCATTGTCCCTTCCCTCCTAAACTAACCTTCTTTTAGGAGTGAAGGGAATAGGAAAAAGAAAGGTAGCTGTAAGCTATCAGCACACCCTTTCTCTTTTCTCTGTCTCTCTTTTCAGTCTTTTGAAACGTGTTTTCACTCTGTTGCATGAGGCTGAGGCCACCGAGTGATTTCAAGGGCATGTGACACTTTCACATTAGAATGTGAAGAGACAGAGACCCTTTCTCTTTTTCTTGACACGAAAAGCGTGATTTATTGCTTTGTTTGTGCTATTAATAGGGAGGGAGTATAAAATTTTGAAACGGCGTGGACTATTGCGGAAATGGAAGACAGGGAAGAGTCTTCCAGGAAGTGAGATTTGTGGAAAAAAAGGATTCTCTGCTCTTCACATCACCAAATTTATTGGCTGCTTTGTTTATTCTATTGCCATGATTCAACCAGTAAAAATAAGTTGGCATGGCTCAAATGCCCATGATTATTATTATTATTTTTTGGTTATGGCTATTTCATCAGAAGAATATGATAATGAAGCATATCAGTTTAGATTTAACGGGGGCTTGGATATCACAGTATTTTTTGTGTAGTGTAGTTGAATTTATTATATCATTAATTGAATTTAAATATTAATTTTAATAAGATACATTAATTATAAATATTTTTGATTATAATTATAATAATAATTTTTTTTCTAAATTTTATCGTTTACCCAAATAAATCTTTAAAAGTTTTTCTTGGAGAGGGGAGTAAGGAGTGTGCCATGTTGTCTCTTTAAATGCCATGCCTGTGTCTCTCTGATAGAGTTAATGTGAAAGATTTCATGGCCATTTCACATTTGTGCGGCAAAGTAAATTGGAAATTCATATACTATTTAAAGTAAGATTTGTTAATTTGTTTAATGCTTTATCTCTATGAGATGAGATCATGGGGGACATGGCTCATGATAAGTGGGCTGCTGCTACAATAAAATAATTTGACTGCCAAGGGAGGAAGGGAGTTTTCAGGTGTGGAGCTGCTCACCATTGCACTTCCACTGCTCAATATCTTTTCATTAGTGGCCATTGTTAAAGACAATCCCATCGCATAATAGCATCAATATCTGCCCTGATTGAAAATTTTAACTTGTTTTCCGTACCCTTCTCTTTTTATTTTAGACAAAAAGACTTGCATTTTTCTTTATATAAAAAAAAAAGTTTTCTTTTATTTTCTTTTGGCTACCTGTTTTTTTTTTTTTTAATCATAGATCATCACTTGTTTATGATTGAACAAGTAAATAATCATGTTTTGGACCCACTAGCTTGGCTACTTTAACAAAATAATAAACCCCCGGACATTCTTCATTACTTCAATCAACCAAAAAAATGGTAATGGTCCAGCTTCATATCATATCATATCATAATCATGATCTCTCGAACTAGTAAAAGGGAATGTAATTATGGCAAATCGATCGAGTATTAGGTAAACAAAAAGTTTAGGCATCTGCTCAAATATGGTAGCTATAGTGAGAAACAATCATTTAATTTTATGTAAAAAAAAAAAAAGGTGCAGCATATTCATTAATCACTTTGGGGAAAGAGCTAAAATCCATTAATTTTACACCTAGAAAGTTCAAATCCATAAATTTATAAAGTAAATAATTTAAAAGGAGCTTTTTAGGTAAAATTGAAAATTTTCTCATTAAATTTTTAAATAAATATCTATTTTTATATAATCTTAATTATAAAATAAATTTTAATTTTTTTTCAATTTTCAAATCTTTTAAACTTGATGAATCTAATCGGATCTTTGACAAATTTTCAAAAAGTAACCAAGTTTAATTTAATTCAATCTAATCCATGATCATCTCTAAAAATAATTAGCTTTTTTTATATTTTTTGCTTATTTGTATATGTGCATATACGAAAAATACAATATACTTTTTAAATTGAGGCACATAAGAATGTCAATTTTATTTATATTTAATGAAAATTTTGATTTTTTATTCGAATTGATACGGAGATGGATATTATATTGTAAGATAAATATAATTTTAAATTTTTATTAAATACGGGTTGAAGAAATATATTATAATACCGACTTATATTTGTACCTTACATATATATTTATATATTTAATAAATAACTTTTTATTAACTAATATAAATTATTATTTTAGACTAATTAAAATTAATATTTTTGATTAAAATATATATTAATATATATTTATAAAAAATTATTTAAATATACAAGATAAAATAAAAAAAACTTTAAAAAATAAATTTTAATTTTTTTAACTATAAGTATAAGAATTATTAATACTCATTAAATATCTTCGAAGATATAAATAAATTTAAATATGATTGGACATAAATATAAAAATAAATATAATATAAAAATTAAAAATATGACAGATGAATGCTCTACCATACCCATTAATATTCTCGGAGGCACAAGACATGCAAAGAACTCAATTAATCTGAGGCACAAATAAAAAGTGCTACTTCTTTTTACGTATAGGTTTTCTCTCTCTCTCTCTCTCTCTCTCTCTCTCTCTCTCTCTCTCTTTAGGGTTTGTTTTCATACATTTTAGGGATTCCAAAGAGTTAAAATCCTAAATCCTAAATTTGATTGTGCATATTCTTCATGACGGTGTTTTCCAACAATTAGGAACTTGAGAGGCTGACAATTATGATATAAGAATTTTGCTTTAATTTGTGTAGTTTTATCATGCAATTCTTATCAAATGTAATGATTTTCTTATTGATGAAAGTTTTCAAGGATGAATTTTGTTCAAAATTAAAAAAAAAAGTTGAATACTTTTATAACATGAGTTTGGTTAACAAGTGACTCAAGAACAAAGCTGAGTTAATATATAATATTTATAGTAATAATATTGCATTATATAAATTCAATAGTCGAAAATTCATGTCAAGATTAAGATCCGACCCGTAAACAGATGTAAATGCAAGTAAAAAAATGGAAATAATCCCATTCCCTAGGTTTGGGTATGCACTAAGAAGTCCAAAGTCGTTGGTGCCCTTATTTGCGGTAAACAGCTGGTCAAAAGTAAGGCCAGCTTTGGCAGCAGCAGCACCGACTTCCCGGTGGACCTGCCTTGTTCCCTGGCCGACATTCTGCTATTACTATTACTATTACTATTAACTATTTACCCACCAATCGCAATCAAGACAAACCCTAAAATTCTCGGCCATCCTTTCCCTTTGATTGATATAATTCAAAAATATATTATTTACTTTTAATTCAAAGGTTCAAATTTTCTACTTTATTACTGCTGTTCCTACTTTTAGTTTGAAAACTTTTTTTTTTTTTTAATCCAAGTAGTTTAACGGAATTGGGTTCTTCCGTTTTATGTCATTGTCTTGTGTTTTTCATGGCATGTGCTTTGGATGAAAATAGTAATGACAAAATAGTGACTCATAGCCAAAACAATTTTTTATTCTTTTGGAATTTAGATACTAGCACTTGTGTATCATATGAATTTCTTTTATTTGAAAATGAAAATTTTGAATCATACTTTTTAATAATGGAATCATACATTAAAAGTTAAATTAAATGCTCGAATCTCGTTTTAAATGGACTAAGTTTTAATATCATAAAAAAATCTTTAGAACAACCATTAAATACGAATAATTTTAAAAATAAATGAAATCTTAGGATAATTTTTTTGTCAACAAATATTTCTAAGTTTTAAAAGATGAAAATCGTCTCCAAACATTTAGTTTAATGATTAAAGGTGTTTAAGAAAACATCAAGAACATAATTTCGAATCAAATTTTTTCCCTTTCTCTTATTTGTATTAAAATTTTATCCTCATAATGTAACCAAAAAAAAAAAGATGAAAATCAATTATATAGCATTTAGATTGATAATTTAAGTATTGTATACAACATTAATTAGATCTTTTGTAGGAACTATCCGTAATAATAAACTTGCAAAATAAATATGTTTATCTTAAAGAGGATAGGTGTTCCTGACCCTGAAGGAATATAACCACATCGTTTTATAGCCTTAACTTAAAGTTTAAACTACCATAATAAGTCTACGTTGAAGATTATAGGAAGGGTACTCGGAAACATACCGACCATATACGAGATCACCATTCAACAAGTGAGTGACAAACCGATTTGCATAAGATTCCCAAATGCATTGAATGAAATGTAATTCATGGAAAACCCATGCTCCTAACTCAAAACAAGTCCACATATATTAGCATATATATACTTATATACAGTAAGAACTCATTTATATTAATGCAAGTGTTATATATATATATATATATATATATATTAATAATTGAATTAAAATTAAATTTATAATACTTATATGTAAATAGTCATTTTGATCCCATAATAAAAAAAAGTGTGACATTTATATTCGTATAATTCGATATTTCTTATATATATATATATATATATATATGAAAATTGATCAATTTACGTAATTTAAAATTTAAAAATTTTATATTTTTTTAATTATTGATTCGAATAAATCTAATTGATGATATTAAATTATATATATTTTTTATTTTTACTTATCTCTCACATCTTTAAATTTATTAAAATCAATAATTAAAAGCACATAAAATTTCTTAGATCTCATGAATCTAAGGATATTTTGTTGTTTTTTGGAATTGGGTACCCTTAAGTCGAGAGCTCATTAATATTCCTCATGCGCATGTCCCCCTTGTTCTGGCTTTGGAAATGTGTTGATAAGGATTCGTTGCTGCAACATATGCACGATTTCATTGAGCAAGAGTGTCAATTTTTGGAAATTACGACACACCCATTCTTTGCAATTAAGAGTATACTAGTAAGCTACTTGTGTTTACTTTAAGGGTTTATATATATATATATATATATATATATATATTTGAATATTACTTTAAGGGTTTATATTGAATACATTATTATGTATGCATTTTATATATTATTAGCAAATAAGATTATATCATCTTATTAATAAAATAGTAAATTAAATGTTAATATTTCATTAATTAGTTTTTTTTAATATTATTTTTTATATATTTATTTTAAAAATTGATATTTACTAATTAATAACGTATTATTATCTAATTTACTGATAATATATATGATTTATTCATTATAAATGTATCAAATATAATCTTTTACTTAAATTGAAACTAAAGGTATTATTGGGCACAATCTATATATTTTTTAACGCTATATGTCTGTATAGGTTCGGTTCGATCATTTACAAAATATTTTATTAGAAAATATAAAATTATTTTATATTAATATTTTAATTATTTAAATATGTTTAATTTAAAGATGAATAAAAATATATCATTTATTAATAAATAATAACTTAATTTTGAAAACCCTAAAAATTTATGGTTAATCTTAGCTTAAGTTGGGTTGGGCTTTATAGAATTATCTGATTTTTTTATACTTTTCATTAGTTGTTGAAATTTGAAAAATAATTTTTTTAATAAAAATCTTAAATTTATATACTAAAGTTTTCTTTCATGCATCTTAAACAAAAATATTATATGACAATAATATTTATATTTGTTTATATAAAATG